TCTAAATCCGGGACAAATATTTCTTTTAGGGAGGAAACGAGATAAAGGTAGTAGTAGACAATCCAGGGCTGTCCCGGCCAAACCGGGACGTATGGTCACCTTACTATTAAAGTGCTAGATTTTTCAATAAACTTATATATGTTTCTTTTCCGAATAAGTAAAGTGAAGTCAAAATTTTAATTTTTTGACAAAAATTAGTAATATGAATTTATAGTTCAAAATTACAGAAAAATCGGATGATGAAACGTATCTAGTTCCGAAACATCGTAATTAAACATTTACAAAAAACTAATTGTTTTTTATTTATTGGATTAATTGTTCAAAAAAAAAACATCAATTAAACTGTAGGTATATATATATATATATATGTATATATATATATATATATATATATTAGAGTGGTCCTTAATATGGACATTTTCGAATTTTATTGCTCCCAGGAGCTTAAATGCTTCCAAATTGATAAAAAAAAACTCTAAAAGTTTTAGCTCTTAATATTAACTTTTAGATAGTGCGCAATTCAATCAAAATTTCGGAAAAAAAATCGAACATTATAAAAATGTTATTTAGGTATGATTAAGGTGGTCCTCATTAAGGATATATATAGATACATATATACATTTGTCAATTTACGATCAAACTAAAGATTTTCTTTCATTTATTTCTTTATTTATTTATTCATTTGCTTAACGGTCATAGTAATATTTATTATTGGTCAATTTTTTATTTTGCGTAATTTAAAAACACAGACAGCCCTAAATTTTCACCTTTCTACCAAAATTGTTATTTAGTAATACAATTTCAATTATCGAACCATTTTTCATCCTGACTTCAGAGGGTGAATGTTTTTTAGTAAATTTCGATTAAGATTTTCATGAGCTCATAAATTTAACAATTTTATTTAGGGTTGTTCATCACCAAAAGATTTTTATTTTTTGACCATTTCCTTTTACTTTTAATAATAAGTTAGTTTTCTTGCTAATTTAGAAACTTTCTAGAAATATTTTGCATAGTCTAACAATGTATGTCGGTTCAGCCGTTATGCAAACGTATCATTTTTATCAAGAAATAACGATTTGTTAAGCAACAGTTCACAGAAAATTCATAAGAGAATCCTTTTTATGCATCAAAGGTTCTACAAATATTTCTATAAATAATTTAATTCAAACAGCTATAGTTATCACCTATTAATAACGCAAATACAACTGCTTGCTCAACAAAATAGCTATTAACAAAAATTTAAATGGGATCTACGACAAAAAATTTCACAATTTTATCTCGGTTGCAATCGGACTAAGTTGAACGTCTTCGACTCAAATCTTCAAAAATTTTTACCTATTATTTATATATTGTCTATTTTTCAGCTGAAAATTTTTCAAAAAACTCACACTACTGGCGACTCTTATCTGAAGAAAAATTATCGTGCAACAAAGCCACTGGGAGATAGAATGCTGAAATATAACGATGTCGAAATCACTAGTAGTGCACCAATATTTGGAGTTTCAAAACTATTATTGTCGACTGCATTTGTGGCACGAAGCTTTTTTAATATAAGTTTTTGAAGCAATCGTAATTATTCACTTTCAGTTCAAAATTCAGTACCAGAAACTAAATCTGCACTGTTGAATACATCAATCTGATATTGAATTTGAAGCTGAAAAACGTTCGATATCTGTTTTCATCATTTGATCACATACTTCATCATTTGATATTTAGAAAAGAACAAAAAAATTGTGATAGATTATTCGCTTTCACGTGAGATAAAAATGTTGCGGTCAAATAGAATTTTTATAGTAAACAAAATTTTTGAATTCCGCATATAATGGACTATCAAAACGTTTTGTTCGCTAGAAAGTTATATAAAAATTTAAAATCATATATTCCTATGTTATCAACTGTTTTTGTTAATCGTTGTTGTATGTAATGTGTGTATATTATTAAGAAATTTATTTGAATTTTATCTGTACAAAATGTACATATATCTCGAGTTTAAATTAATGGATCGTCTCAAAATATATACAAAAATTAAAATATTTAAAAATAATTCAAGAAAACAAATTTTGCATTACTAGTTTACCATTGCAAAATGTAATTGTATTACCTAATGTCGTTTCTCTAAAAGAACTGCAATAAAAAGCAATAATTATTATTAATACAGTGATTAATATAATCAATAAGAGTAATTGTAATTATTTGTAATAACTACAATAACTATAAGGAGTGTCTGAGCAATCGAAAAAATCGTATGGTGTGATTGGTGCCAGATAAACCATGTGAGGATTGAATCAGAAATTTTTGCACATATGTGAAATAGGAAAAGGTGATGCTAATATTTTTCCACCACACATGTGCGAAAAAATAATAAAAAATACTAGTCATGTAAAAATCTGTTATTCGATAGTGTCGTAGTATATTATTGTAGTATAATCGTAAATGTTACATAATTGAAAATGTTTAAAAATAAATGTTCAAAAACTTAATTTCTCTTATTTAGCCCTTTGCACCCTGCACCATTTTTGACGTTACCCACCAGCACTTCAACCGTATATTTCCAGAAAAGAAAATATACAAACAAGTAAAAATTGTATTTAATATGTTTTGTATAATTTTTTTCAGAAAAAAATATATCAAAATGTATTTACTACTTCCCGAAGGAGAAGTTCATGTTTTCACAAAAAATTCTGAACCGATTCTGAAAATGTAAAAAACATCAAAAGGTATCAGTTGCGTGTCGTGCTTATTAGTTTTTAGTAAAGATCGCTGCTCTAGTAAAAACGTTATGTTTGTTGTTATCAGCAGCAAAGTCTCATTGTCAATGGTTTTGTGAAAGTTCTTGAAAAGTATAATTTCCTCAAATACTTATAAACTTCTGCGGACCAGAGGTGTCCATGCCGCCTGATGAACAAGGGCCATAGACCACCGGTGGTCAACGCCTGTTAGAATATGTTGAGCTAAATTAAAAATTACATTTCTTGCAATAGTTTCTAGCAATCTAAAAACCACAACTAGTGGGGTGCATGGCATCGTGCCTTAAGGCAAATTGCTGGAATTTCCCGTACCAAACATTTTTTTTAAAAAGATTAACATTTTTGAAAAAAATTAGCTTTTTGAGAAACTATAAATTTTTGACAAAAATTCGATTTACACAATATTTGCATTTAAGTGCAATAAAAAGACTAATGTTATTAACCAAATATTTAATATAGAAATGATTCAATTAAAATAATAATATCCAATCTATTTACTAACAATGACACAAAACAAATTCCAAGTGACATTTTCTATTGTCAAGTATCTTTTTTTTTCGAATAAATCAAGTTAACAAGATACAAGTGTCATTTATTTTTGAAAATCTTTTATTTTATTCGAGTGAAAACGTTTTGTGAAGTTTATAAATTAATTGCGAGTTTCAAAAAAATCATTTATTCAAAAAAAATAATAGAGTTTTGTTAAAAGTTTGGGATTATTTTGGGATCAAGATGAGTAGTGCAAGGAGGCAGACGAAAACTGGTAAATTTAGTAAAAAATATTTAATTTATATTGTATTTATACTTTTAATATTTTAGTTCAAAAAATAGAAAAAAAATTATTTAAAATTTTGACATTAATTGCTAATAACTTGTGGCAAAAAGTCACTGACATTAGTTAGTAGAACCATTACTTCTCAATCAACTTTTCTATATTAAATTGACTTCAATGAAAATTGGTCAGGTGGATTAACAGATGAAGTAATTTGTTGAATTTTTGGGGAATATCTGGATCTCTCAATTGCTATCGATCTAATTAACAATTTTATTTCTGTGATTGTTCTTAATGTTCCAAGTTGTATAAATTCTGATACAAATAGAACAAAAAATGCCATACTAATTTTAGTCGGAACTTTTCTTGTTTTGCACCTAGTTCCTTAAGTTTTATTGCAATTTTCGAAAATATTTTTTCTATAGCGGAACCAGAGGCGGAACAATCTTTGAATTTAACAGAGGAGCAGACTGAAGAGGCGCAGGAGGCCTTTCAGTTTTTCGAAAAGGACGGATTCGTCAGCACCAAAGACCTTCAATTGGTTCTGAGATCTTTGGGGTATCTCTAAAATGTTATAAATAATGTATGTATATATATGTATGTGTGTGTTTGTTTGTCAGCTACAACAGCTCCGAATTGGAAATCGACGACATCGTCGCCAAAATCGATGTCGAAAACACTGGCAAATTGGACTTCACCCAATTTTTGCACGCGCTCAGCAGGAAGGTGAAGAGTTTGCAAAACGAGGAGGAGATCAAAAAGGCAATTTTTTTTACCTTTATCTTTTATCCCTTATCTTCTATCTATTATCCCTTATCTTCTATCTATTATCCATTATCCCTGATCATTTATCCAGGCTTTCAAGGTCTTCGACCAGAACGACGACGGCATGATCACGTCCTCGGAGTTGAGGATCGTGATGAATCGACTTGGTGAAAAGTTGACTGATGAGGAGATTGAGGAGATGATTAAGGAGGCTGATGTCGATGGAAATGGTGTTATTGACTATGAGGAGTTTTACTCGATGATGACGTCGGGAAAATGAGAGGATGCAATGATGAAGTGGTATATGAATGGTTGTAATTTGGTGTTGAATAAATTGTTGGAAAGTAAAGTTGTCAAATAAATGTCTTTTTATAAATGAGTGATTATTATTAAATTGCATGATATTGACGTGGATTTTGTATGGATGGCATTTCAGTACACAACTGGACGACATTTGATAGTTATTTTACAAATTTGGTAATTTTTTTTACAAATTTACTCTGTTTTTCAAATGGGCAACATTGTACCCTTTTCTCATCCAAGAACATCATAAAAGTTTTTTTTAACTAGATTAAATTTGGCACTTTTTTATACAATTATGAACCGATTCTGCGCATAACAGAGAAATGTTACGGCATGGCTATGTTACGCTCCGACTCCCCATACATTATGCGAATGAATCATACTGAATGCTGTCAAAATATCATGTATTTGCTGTTCATTCCGGCGTTTTAAACATAAACTGCAACGTCACTCGTATGTCACCTAAGAGAAATCAGAAACACACACTTATCTAACATCGTTTTTTTGACATTTGTGCGGCTTTTAGGTTATGTTTTGTATGAGAAAACCTGAGAAATTCGCCTGACTGAACACCAACCGCATAACTTTTGTCTATATTACTATGGAAAATTCTTCATAACATGAACTTATCATAACATTGCGGCAGAATCGGTCCCTTAGACGAAGTTGACATTTTTTTATTCAAAAAGACGATTTACATTTTTTTACCAAATTGTGTAGTTTTTTAGTACAATGTACAAATGAGGGTATCCTAAGTTTCCAGTTATATAGGATGTAGGATTATTGTGTAAGATAATAATTTAGTTTTTTCAACAAATGTATTTTAGTTTATTTTGATACAGGATATTTACAAATGTCATCATTTTACGCTCTTTTCTAACAAATTTACTGACGTTTTTTTTTAATTGAAGTTTTTTTATATAATTCGCCAATTTACAATTTTGTTTTAAACAAATTGGCTATTTATACTTTTTTAACATTTGACGATTTTATTCATCAAAATAAGCAATTTTTTTTGTATAATTAATTTTATTGTTTTTTTGCAATAAATTGGTTTTTGACTGTTTTTCTCCAAATAAGCAAATATTTTTTTACAAATTTACTGTTTAAAAATTAGGCGTTATTTTTTCATTTAGTTATCATTCATCAAATCAATGAATTTTTTACTTAATTTTGGCTTGACGTTGAGTTCTGGGACACCTTATAAAAATATTTTCATTTTTTTCAAATAAGTCGATTTATTACCACCACAAGTCTGTATATGCACTCTTATATGTATATAAAAAAAATTAGGTGATATTTACAAATTCAGTTTTGAAAATTAAGCGGCATTTTTTCATTTTCAAAATTGATGAATTTTTTACTTAATTTTGGCTTGACGTTAAGTTCTGGGACACCTTGTAAATAAGTTTTAAAAAAATTAAGTGGCATTTTTTTAGTTAGTTTTGTCAAATCGATGATGTTTTTACTTTTTTTACAAACGGATAACATTTAATTTTGTTTTAAAGTGATATATTTTACAGATGCATGAAATTTGCAATGCAATGCAAGTTGTGTTTTATGTAATTGTTAATTTTCTTTTGTACATTTTTAACAATATATTCAAGACTAATATATAATTATATATAATATATAAAAATAATTATATAAAATATATAAAAATTTTCATTTTCGATTTTTTTGCGATTACTATAATTTGCCCTACGGGAAGTTAATAACAAATTAGAATTCTCAATAATTTAACTCAAAGTGATAAATACTGAAGCAAAATTCGACCCACTTTATGCCTTTAGGGGACACTTGTGCACAAATTATCATCTACTGTGTAAATTTTTATCTCACATCAAAACTTAAAAAAAAGATATCAAAATAACATATATATCAAATTTTGAAAATTTCAATTTTAGTTATCTCTTATCTGGGATCTCTCGTAGTTCAGGTAAGTAGAAGACTAGACCTGAATCAGAGGTTTTCACTTGAAAATATAGATAGCAATATGTTTCTAACAACATATTTTAATATGTTTGTAAGTGAAAATATCCCTTATCCGGCATTGTTGCATCAATAAATATTCGCCTAATTACAGAAATTGTAATAATAATTTATCACAAATAGATGGGACAACTGTTAAGGTTCTATCTGTAGAACCAACCAGTATTAAGTCTAATTAACACAACACTTTATAGGATTCTCAAGTTCCGATTGCTGTTCAAAATAATAATAAAAAAATCTCTTATCTCTGTTATTGATATAAATTTAGTGAATAAATAATTTATTATTGCATAAATATTACGTATTGAACACTTTTTTTTTATTTATTTATTGTAATGGCATCTGATATGAATCTATATACAATGAACCTTCAATACTAATATATATACAATAAACTTTGAATTCTAATATATATATATATATATATATAATATATATATATATATATATATATATACAGTATAATGTCGAATCTATAAATTAAATTTCTAAACTATTCTCACGAAAAATGCAGTAAAAGGTGATGTCAATGACTTACCTTATATGTCTTTCCATTTCCAGATATCAGATGAAGATAATGAAGCGTTGGATATTATTTTGGATTCCGCCAAGAAAGTTCTAAACAGTCAGGATTCATCTCAACATCCACTTGAAAAAGAAATAAATTTGTCACATTTTCTCCCACAGAATAGGTATAATTTCTATAGATACGAAGGTTCTCTGACGACACCAACGTGCGACGAAGTTGTTTTGTGGACTGTATTCGAACACAGCCTGCCAATATCTGATGAACAGGTAAGCATTGTCAAAAAGTCAATTTCATTCAACAATGAAATATTTTCATAATATAGATCTTTATTTTGAATTCGAAATAAGCATTGCTGCAAACTCAATTGTTTGCTGAAGACATGCTGTGCAAATCTGCATTCCCTATAATAAACACTAAATATTTTTGAATAGGTTTGATGCTTTAAAATATTTTGATAGATATCTCATGTTTTTAAACAAACTCTAATTGTTTTAATATTTTATTTATGATTGGAAATATTTTTGAATTATACGCGGACGTTATAAGTCAACATATGGAATACTTATGAATAGCTTAAGAATAGGATTAGTATTGTGTTAAGATAAATATATGAACTTTTCCATGTTAATTAAAATAAAATACCTTCGTTGATATTTAAATGTCATAAATTTAAAACATCAAAACGTTAAGTAATAATTTTGAAATATATTTTTCATTTTTGAACTTTTCATTCATTGTTCGGACGTTGAAGCGAACGCATCGTCAGCAGTAGAATTAAATTGTAAGTGTTACATAATCTCATAATATTATCTTGATAAAACGGAGTGCATTCAAATTATACGTGTATTGTTGACATTCTAAATGTGCGCATTCCCTTTGCGGGATATGCTCGGATTATAAACAAACTACGTCTATCAAAAGTGTTAAATTCAGTTTATATATAGTGAATATAATAATATTAATATAGTGTGAAATATTAATCAGTGTTTTAGTGTATGTGTTCTTTATCAAATATGAATACGAACGACCCTTCGGAGTGTCCATCAACATCATCGTTGCCAATAATGGAAGTCAACAAGGTTTTGCAAGACAATACCCGTAATAATACCGAATTAGTTATTCAGCAAATGAGAGAATTCCATGAATATTTGGAACGAACCAAAAAGTAAACAACGACAGCAATGCAATTGCAAATACATCCGAAATGGACACAAGCGATATCATTCATCAAGACACCAGTGCCGATCAAGTCGGGGATGTACAACTTGCGTCATCCAATCAAGAACAGGGCTGGACAACAGTTATGCATAAAAAAAGGCATCAATTTGATAATATCAATGATACCAATATAGCTAAATTAGTTAAAAAATCAACCAGGAATGCAAAAATGAATGAAAACGATACAAATAATTCCACAAGTTCCGTCTATTGGCTCAACCCAACCCCTACTAAAAATTCTTTTGAGATTTTAAGTAGGGAAGAAACTGCGAACATACAAAATACTACTAATGTAATAAGACCACCACCAATTTTTATCCATGAAGTTCGCGATATCAAGCCCCTTACTCAACTGCTTGATACTGAAGCCAAAAATTTACATAAAATTAAAATTATAAATGCGACACAAGTGAAATTAACTTTAGAAAATGCAGAAACTTATAACAAGATCTTAAAACTACTAAAAATCAGAAATACCCAAATGCATTCTTTTCAAAACCGAACTAAAAGGCCACTGAAAGTCGTTGTTAAAAACTTGCACCATAGCACAGATACGGAAATGTTAAAAACTGAAATTGAGAAACTAGGACATACGGTAATAAATATCTCAAATATAAAAAGTAGGTACACAAAATACCCGCTTAATATGTTTTCAATAGATTTAGAGCAGAAGCCAAACAATACAGACTTTTACAAAATTAATTTCCTCTACAATACCAGTGTTGAGATTGAGCCAAGACACTTTGCCCGTGAAATACTACAGTGTTCGAACTGTCAACGTCTAGGACATTCCAAAAACTATTGTTTTAGATTGCCTAGATGTGTAAAGTGTGCAGGAAATCATTTAACCAAAGATTGTTCCTGGGAAGATAAAATTAATAAAAATGTTAAATGTGTTTTATGCACAGACGGAAATCATCCAGCCAATTACAAAGGATGCAGAGTCTACCAAGAGCAACTTGAAAGGAAATTTCCAATTCTTCGTCGCAAAATTTCACAAAGGCAAGAAAATAATTTAGTGCAACCAGGAAAGAGCTTCGCTTACGCAACTCGCCAAAATACGGATACAAATCAAACTTCAACGGATAACGCCAATGTAACGAACAACAATACCAACAACAACAACAATAACAACGACATTTCAGAACTAAAACAAATGATCAAAACATTAACAGAACAAATAAGTATAATCCTCAATCTATTAACAACCATCCTTTCAAAAAATAAGTAATGGCTAC